ACACAGCCGTTCGCTCACTCCCCCCCCGCAGTGGGATGGGGGAGACAATCAGGAAAAAAAAAAAAAAATTCATGGGTTAAGATAAAGACAGTTTAATAGGACAGAAAATGCACCTCCAGCCTTCTCAGTCAGTAGAGCATGGGAAGCTGAAAAGTCCTTGACTAGTGTAAGCATTACCTAGCAACAACTGAAACATCGGTGTGTTATCAACATTGTTCTCATCCTAAATCCAAAACACAGCACTGTACCAGCTACTAGGAAGAAAATTAACTCTATCCCAGCCAAAACCAGGACACTAATATTAGTTAAAGTGTGAACTTTTTTGTTCATGTAAGTAAAGACAGCAGAAATAACTTTGTGCTTGTGTTTGAGAACAAATAAACCCTTTCTAATCTGTAATCGGATAAAAACATGCACAGTACAGTAGTGTTTGGTTTTATCTCAAATGCTTCTTACAGAGAATTCTAATATGTTTTAAAAGGCAACATTAAGCTAGCGAGAAAAAGATTTTAGGTGAGTCTTTAAAGAGAGGTAGATTTCTTTGTAACAACCAGGTAGAGGAAAGAAAATCAGATCTTATGAATATGGTTAATATACACTTGCAGCCCCATTTTTAAAATCCTGTGAATGTAGGTGTCTGAGCAACTTCTGTTTTTTCCACCACATCTACAAAATAGTGGTGACCTCTGAAGATTGCCTGTCAACATTTAGCAGCATTCCTAAGAAAGTGGGGCTATCATTGCTTCCCCCCCCTCAAGCACCAGAGGTATCTCTTCGATAACTGATAGCATGAGTAACCAAAAGGTATGAAGAACACTGAAAGCCATAAGGGCAACTTGAATTTAACTGGGAAAGAGCTAAACTTCAAAAAATTTTTTTCTCATTGCCGTAAGGCTGTACTTCCTGAACCTTAGTGCAGGGATGGGTGTGAGATAAAACAGTGCTTACCACACAGACCAAAAAGGACAGGAGAAATTAAAATCCTCAGCTGCCACACCCAACCTCTTGAAAAGTGCACTGAAGCTTGGGTGAGATTTAGAGAAACGGAGAAAGTGTTATAAGAAACTGTGGATCTTGGAACAGGTCTGTTTTCACCTGGTCCTAGGCATCAATTAGCTTCATAGTGGCTGCTGGATTTTAAATACTTAAAGGCTTTTTAGATGGAAACCATACAACCATTTTCCTGCAGAATACAAGACTTTTATATTTTCCTCTTTTTAAAGATTTTAATTTTAGCTAGGGGAACCTTCCGGTAATGCAAATGATGAACATAATCTAGCGAAGGTTTCTGGGGTGAGGTAAAAATTATTCGTTAAACTTTTTCCTTAACATTTCAGGTGAAACAAATTGACTAACCTTCACATAAGACAAAAAAGCTCCTCCTTAAGCCTGTGAATTTCTTTAAAAAAAAAACAACAGAAAATTAGTGACTTCATCAAGTTCCAACTTACGCAAATGTAGCATATCTGAGCCTCACCTAATAATGGAATTGCTGAGTCCTGTAGTGCTGGATAGTCAACTTAATCACAGACTTCTTGAATTGCTCTTTCCACAGATCTGCACCCCAGATTTGGTGGTGTTTCTGGCATGTTCCAGTCAAAGGCTAAAAGAAAGGTTACTGAAGCGTGCTGAACAGCAAGGAAGACCTGATGATAACCTGAAAGCCACTCAAAGAAGACTAATGAATTTCAAGCAGAATGCTGTTCCATTGGTTAAATATTTCCAGGAAAAAGGGCTAATCATCACAGTAAGTCCTTTAGTATATACCTCCGAAAACTTAATTGTTGTTGTGGTTATACTTGGTTTCTTAGACCTTTTCTTTTAAGATAGGCTAGATGAGTCAAATTATGTTTTAGGTATACACCATGGTTTCAGTTTGCTGAGAGAGTGTTTTCTGCAAAAAGCAGTAACAGAGCAAAATTCATGTGCACGTAGATGACATGGTAAGCACCATGTCAGTTCTTTGCTGCAGGCACAAATTGCTTCGCCAACTAGTTGCAAACCCTTTGCTCAGAAATTATTTGCATGAAAGAAGAGCTTGCTTTGAAACACTGGTTGCTATTCCAGTGCCAGCAGTTTCATCCCTTCCTTGCAAATAGTCATGTACTTTTTGGGTGGTTGTCTTGAGAGGGGAGGAAAGCAGAAAAAAAATACATTCTAACAGAAAGCATATCTTGAGTTGGATTAAATCAATACAGGTTCTTCAAGGAATAAATATATCTGGCTGTTGACTGACTCCAGTAAATAAAAAGTCCTTAGATTATCTTATCATGGGTTAAATATGCCTTACTATGTGGTCTCCTACGAGCTTTAACATTACAGATAAAGATTTTGATGACAAGAAAATTGCAATGTAAATAGACCACTTGGATATCAGTAAGAATACTGATTTCTGCAATATCTGGGGCAAGAGAAAGTATCTCTAAACACAGAACATACCAAAAGCTGCATTCATAAATAAAGCCAGAAGCACTGTATGGAAGTAGGGCTAGCAAGTACTGCTGAAGTATTTAAGTGCTTAATGATGACGAATTCAGCGAGCAGTTGACAATGGTTGAATTACAGACATGTTCTAAATTACAGACCATGTCTGGTTGTAATGCGCACAGAACTTGGTACCACATATGGTACCATGAGAGCACAGATGACCTATTTTGTTTCTTTTGATAGTCTAAATAACCTAGGTAGTTCACATTGGTATGTTCTCCTCATGGCAAACATGACTAATTCCATGTGCTGGTCAGATTCATGAAGGGCCAAAGCACCCTTAAGTGCAAAGTCATCTAATGATGTTGGTAGCCTTAATAATGCACTTCAACATCTTTCTGAATTTCAAAATGAAAATCCCAGGAAATTATTACATTGTTTTCTCCAGAGAGTATCTTTTCTGTTTGAGGATTTTGATTAACTCTGTTCGGAAGGATGAGAGGACTGGAATTCTTGGAAGTTGTTCTTCATTATTGACGAAGTGTGTATTTTGTGACATTTCTATAGCCTCTACAAGTGCTCCTCCTATAGAAAGCATACTTAGCTCTTCAGGGAAAATGTGCCTTTGTAGATAAAGCATGTGGGGCATCTGGATAGAATTCCCTTTCTGTGATGAGACCTGTAGAACAGAGGATGTTTTTCCTATTGAGGTTTTGTCTTCTACTTTTTAGCTCTGTTTCTTGAGAGTTCTAAAGGTAATTTAAAATGCAATGTTCACCTTAGATATCTCGTTTTGTTTTGAAGAAAGCAAATGTTTGTGACGGGTATGGAAATGGTAACATGGCATGTGAACATTATATTACTGTCCTCTTCAGGACAAGGAAACAGCATATGCAGAAAATACTGACTTGGCAACATGTCAAAAAAGTCTTTAATATGAAAAAAATCTGTAAGATTTGAATTTACTCCTTAACTATATGGTATCTACTCCAAGTGTGTTAATATCATTTCATAGAGATCTAGAAATTACTCTAGATTTACGTCAGTGTAGAAGTGAAGAGAATTAGACTTTGGAAGGGAGACTCTGTTGTTGACCTCTCATTAGAGCTGCTACAGTGCAGTTGCGTTTCCCTTGTTGAAAAAACAGGATGCATTAGTAAAGCCAAGCCCTGAGAGTTAGATGCGTGAGTAATTTCATGGCCAGTGGATAAAAGGATCCCTTTCTGTAGATGATAAAGAATATATATGGCAGACCTCATTTCCATAGAAGTTGCAATTCCATTGCATATGGAAGATACATTTGCAGTTGCCTAAGGCAACTAAGTTAGTGGGGGATAAATGAGAAAAAGGAGTAGCTGAGAAAGGACTAATAAAAAGAGATTAAGCATGCATACTCCAGAGCAAGTAAGCAACTGAAAATTTCTACAAAAGGGCATTTTTTAAAACCACATGACCTTGAAAGAGAGGAAACGTATGCTAAGTCCACATAGAAAACTATGTGGACTAGAGCGAGTTGTAAATTTTAAAATAGTGTTTCTAAAAAAAGGTTATTTTGTCACCATTTGTTCCTTTTCTTAGTGCTCAATTTATAGATCGGCATTATCTATAGAGTTTTGACATTCTTCTGACAATGTAATTTGTTTTCATACGTTCATTTTGTTGGAAATTCATTTGTCCAATGGGAAATCTAAGTATGTTTCTGCCAACTTCCTGTCCTGTTCCTTTAAGCAAACATCAATGGAGATAACAGATGTTTTCTTACTCCAGATGGCTTTGATCCCATTGTCTTCTTCACTGATGAACTTAAGCTTTCTTTTGGTTTTGAAAAAAAACCCCAAATCGTATAATTTTTCATAGCCTTCCATCAGTGGAAAAGACAGTTTTCCTAGAAAGCCATAGGATCCAAGAACCATTGCAGTCTTCATCACTTAGAACATAGAAAAATCTTAGAACATTATATATTGTTTATCTAGACAATAACTAAGGTGGAAGCCTTATATGTTCAACTTGCCTTTACTATTTTGTATCTGTATAAAACACATGTAATATTAACACTTCTACATACATTTGATGCACTTGTGCATGCTATGTCCCTACAGAAGGAGGAAGCAAGAAGGAAGATCGCATTTATCCTGCTGATTATAATGTTGAACCTGGAGGCACTGGAATATTATGCGGATGAGAGCAGTGTAAGAACTAGGACAGCATAAAATAGAATTACACTAACCTAATTCCTAGAGGAGTGAATCCCTGAGGCAAGGTCAGGCAAGGTCAATGTTGACCAGGAGGAAAAAAAAAGATTTACATTTTTCTTAAATCCCTACCTGCACATTGTCACTGCTACTCAAAACTCTAAATCTCAGACATTTCTTCTACCCAGCATCACGATTCTACTCAGGGAAAAGAAACAGAACCATTTGTCTTATGGAGAGTTATAATTTTAGAACCACAACTCAAATTTTAAACATCTACTTAAATATGTTGTTCTTCATCAATACACAGACCAAAAGAGAAAAGAAAAATTCACTGAAATCTAACTATATATGATTAATGAGCAGACATTTGATATAATTATAGTCTACTGTTAGACACTGTATGAGCAAGAAAATAAAAATCTAAATTCCCAAAGAATATCAGTTTTCCTGCTCCAACAGTTTTTCCATACTGTTTTAAACATATTTTGGTTAATAGAATTAAAAAACACATTATATTGGTTAGGTTACTTAGGAGTAATTCTTTCCCTTTATCTTTTTTTTTTCCCTTGATCTTTGATAATTTTATACAGTACGTAGCTTATACTTGTTTGCTGCTCTGCATGTCTTATGTTTTCAGCCTGTGCATGGTATCCCTGCTGTCAGAGTCTGATCCTGGTTTCTGTTTTCAAGGAAAGAAGTGAGGGCCCAACTACAGTACTTCTAAGAAACAGGAAGATATAACTCTGTCCTTTCTGAAAAACTCGGAATATCTAAATTTTGGATTGTTGTTCAAATTGAACAGATCTTTACACTTCATTATGATTAAGAAAGAGAATTAAATATCTGATATTTTCATGAACACACAGTCTGTGTTTAAAATTCTTTTTAGCAATCTGTCAGTAGGTCTAACAAGTCAAACCCTGACTTTTCTTAAGTCAAATTTGATTTCAGAAAATATCAAGACAATAGTAATTGATATCACAATATTGGACATGGGTATATAAATAGATGCATATGCTGGCATTTATTGTATCAGTAACGTTTTAAAAATCTTAGAACATTATATATTGTTTATCTAGACAATAACTAAGACACAAATTACCGGGGGGGAAGATGTTAGATTGAATTATGAAAGGGAGAAAATGTAAATGCCTAGATGATCTGCAAGTACTCTAATGTTTAGCAGAGGACTTCAGTTCTGAACACAGTTTAATCCATTCCTGTATCCTTCCTGCCACCTAGCAAATATTAGAATATTATTATATTTGGCCTCAGGTGCTGACATGATAATTGGTATGTCATGTGTAGACAGCCATGCCCAATAAACCAAGGCTACTGTTGAGGTGTGCTCATGAGTAGAGAACTTCAAAATAAAAGGGTCTGTGCATGCAAACTTCTAGACGGTGCTTTCTGTTCAATTAAAAATACTTAGGCATTTCATATCACTCACCTGTGAGAATCATTTTTAGGTACTTTGTTATTTTGGCTACAGTACTACAAGATATACAGTATGGTATTATTTCAGTTTCTAACACTGTTTTATAAGGGTTTCCCTTTTTTTTTTTTTAATTAGATAATAATGAAAAAGTAAGGCAAAGAAAGAAAAAAACTCTAGTCCCTATGTAACTAATGTGCTTTAATGCTTTTAATGTGGTTGCTGTCTTGAGAGCAAGCTAGCTTGCTCTGAAAAAATGTGCTGTGAGTTTCAAATAACAAAAAGTTAATCCTTCTCCCTACCCCCACCCCTGGCACCCTAGCCTAGATTAACTGTATTTTGGGAGAAAACCGGTTTGTGTTAGCTGAAGTTCTAGTCCAGCACATCTTTGTTGTCTAGTGAAAACTTGCTGTTAAAGGAGATTACTATTTAAAAGAGTTCCTTAAGAATCAGCTGAAAAATTCAACTGAAAACTGTTTTATTGTTTTGTTAATTTCAAATTACGTTTCTCTTCTGGACATTATATTGATGTTTCATCATTATTAGACCTGCTGCTATGAACTACCTAGCCCTTAAGAACCGTCAGATAGAGCTCAAGAAAATCACATTCACTGACCTTTGAATAAACTACTACAATGTAAAATCATTCTAACTAGGAATTTTTTTCATTTACATCCATCAAATGTAATT